CATAGTCGTGCATGCCGTAGTCGTTAGACCATTGACCTCGCGTCCCTACAAAGCCGGGGCGGAGCGGAGGGGGGGGAGGGGGTGAGAAAACTAAGCCTACAGCGTGAATAGTTTGGGAAGCGGCGCAAGATTGGAAGCGGAATGCGTTGAGGAAGTGGGATGTGGGACTGGACATTAGCGGATCGTTCCGTGGGTCATTGCGCGGAGACGAAACCGTTCGCCCGGAAAGCAACCTGTAAGTTTAGCCCCTAGCGTGTTGGTGGATGTCACCTCTCAGCGATACCACAGGGCGGATGGACAGCAACGAATTGCATGTATGCACTTTTGGCGAATTAGGCACAAAATCGAAACTCGAAGCTAGCGACCTAACAAGTTCGAAGCTAGCGACCTAACAAGGTCGTGGTCCCGGTGTAGCGGTCCACAGTAGTGTCACAAGATGATATAACCGCTATTGAGAGCACCGCCACTTAAGTGGATCGGCAGCAGCTAAGTAGGTAGTTTAACTACCGAGGGGCGTCTGTGCCACAAGATTCTCGAACCGCTATTCAGGGCATCCCCCTAAACAGGGAACGGTTGAAGCGGGACAACGGTTGTACAAGCAAGAGGAGCAGGAATTTTGGCAAGGGGGGGGTAGGGTAGCGAGGTACATCATTCTTGCCCGCAACTCCATCGACGCGTTGCACAAGCTGCCCTCGCAACTTCTCAACCGCAAACGAGATCGTTGCTGAGTTGAACCGTCGGAACCACACGAAGAAATGCAAGAGCATTGAGTTTGGAATCCACGGTACCCCTTGTCTTTGAAGATGGTGAGACGACGTGACGCCGTGATTTTTCTCCCCACATGATGAACCGCCACATGCTGTAAACCCAACGCATACCAACTTGCAAACAGCGGCAATAATGGTGTGTCGAAGCTGCATTTCCGCGAACCGATAAAATCTACAAAAAAAGGTGTTGTAGCCAGCCTGGGATCATGGAAGCGTCAGTTGGACAGGTAAGGACATTAGAAGGTGGTAGATTGATCGACTTCATAAGTCGCGTGGGAAGGGATTGCTGTACCCTTCTCGGGATAAAAATACCTCAGGCAGGAACCGCAGGAGGGGGGTCCAACCCCCCCCCCCTCCTGTGTGACCCCGGTTGGGTCGTCTAGCTATTATATAGTAGAAGCGGAGGATAGGGGCCAGAGGGGCAGACCACAGAGTCCAATGATTGGAGAAAAAAAAAAACAACTTCGCGGAGACAGGACCAGTTTTTAATGCCAACACAACAACAACAACAACAACAACGACCCCTTGGTGAGGAGTCCACTCGCGGCACGGGGCCCTCGCGGAGCGAAGGCGCATTGTCGCGGGATTCTCTCTACCGTATCGTAGCTACCTTCATGGCGACGAGCTTGTACCCCTTCTTTTCGAAGCGAGAGATGACCTCGCCGACGAGCTGACGTTGCACCCCGTCCGGCTTGATGGCCTGTCGCAGGAACGGAGTAAATAGACAAATTGATATTGCGACATCAAAGAAGGAGCACTCGAGATGAAAATAGCAGAGAAGGCGGCCATGACGCCTTTAAACCCATAATTGCATGCAATGCACATACGAATGAATCGTACTACGCATATGAGCAAGAAATACACGCCTACTGCTGTTGCATACAAGAACAAGAACAAGATGGTACCATTGGTCTAGGAAGTCAAGAAATTTGCACAAGTCTTCCCAGTCTCCGTCCTTCGATCTATGCCCCTGTCTCTCCCAAAGGAGCGTGTTAAACTGCACTGGAGAGGGTCGACGGGAAAATAACCGCGCGACTCTGCCAAGGGTGCCTACCGCTGAACCCTGTAACCGGTTGAAACGAGTAACCAGTTATCGACATCACTAAAAAATTCGAACGAGACGCTTCACCCAGAATTTGAAAACTGGAATTTGGTGGTAGGGGATTTTTTGGAAGCAAAGAGCAGTTATGTTTCATCGGCCTTGTTGCTGCTGTAACAACATCTATCTTTTGCCTTGCTCTCCGTCCCGTTTCTACGCTTCGTTATGCAGCGTGCATGCCTATCCTCATACCAATCAGCTCATTGCCTCCGTGGGAAGGTGCACTGCCTAGGAAGGTGCTGCGCGGCGGGACGCTAGTGGAAAACGAAATGACGTCTGCCATTTTTTTTCTTAATGCTTCGCGGTCATTGGGTGAAAAGAAAACGACGGCGCGGCGGGTTACGGTACGCGATGTCGACGAGGCAAGGACAGCAACGAAGGCAGAGAGAGGGCCAGCAGAAATGGTCCCATACACCCGTCTAGCAGGTGGTAACAGAAACAGAGGGGGGGGGGGGGGGG